CCCCCCCCCCCCCCCCCCCCCCCCCCCCCCCCCCCCCCGGGGTCCCCCCCCGGGCCGAAAGGGGGGGAGGAAAGTGAGCAGCTGTCAGTGCAGATAAAACTGGGAACATTCTTGGGAGAAATACCTTCATAATGACAGGTCTGAAAAACTGATGACACATCCCCAAATCCATATATGCTGCCATTGTGAGATGAACAAGGGTGACTCTCACTGTACCACCTCAGACAGTCCTTCCTGGCCGTGGCTGGCAATCAGATGCAGCTGAAGCACGGTCACTGGTTTGTTTTGGTTATGGTGCTTTGTTTATTCTGTCACAAAGTAGATATGGCTAGAGTTTTGAAAACATGCTTACCTTATTTTCTTATTGCCCTTCTCTTTATTGCAGGCACAGAGATGCAAAAAATCATCTGCTTATTGGGAAGTCCTGGGAGAGGCTGGAGAGTTCATGCAGCCAGTCGCACCCATTAACTCCTTCTTCTGTGATTAGATTTGAGGATGCTGTAAGAAGTATGTCAAGGTCACATTTACCCAATTCTAATGAAGCACAGCTTAAACTACAAATTGTTAACCATCCACTGGGAATAAAACTGTAATTTTTTTTTAACAGTCAAATAATTAAAAAGGCAAATGTGTTCCATATTGAAAGAATGTTACTATATTAGATAAGGGAATGGTCCATGACCATGTGACACTATTAATATGACCAAAAAATGATCTGGGCTCTGAAATTACTTTATTTCCCTTAGCAGACCATTAATTTCAGGTTACTAATTTAAAGTACATTAATATCTGACTGCTTAAAAGTGGCATTTCATTTCATTTTCAAAGTTGTTCCTCTTTTAATTTCTTCTCCTTCTACCAAAGGGTTCTGTTTATTTTAATTGGGAGATACTTATGCCAGATTGTGTACTGACACTCCATGACATTTTTTAAATAAGATATTCTTTTCAGATGCACCATGCTGCAGAAAAACTCAAAACAACAAAGAGAATCCAAAATCCAATCTCACTTAAATGGAGAATCTCTCTCTTTGAGATGCAAAATGACCAAATAATTTCATAGACACCATTTGCTTTTGCTTGACTCTGTCCCCCTTTCTCATATTTATTAGCAATGTCATTTGCAAGAAACGTCAGGGAAACCAATGAAGGAGGCAAATAATACATTTTTCCATAACATCTATTTTACACAATGGAAAAAACATAGGATGGCTACTTTCTCCAATGTAGAAACACAATATTTGACAATAATTATGTAACTGCTCCTATTCTGTCAGTTTTGTTACAAAATTGGAAAATAGATTTACCTCTTTCTCATTAAAGGCAATATTTACACTATGATTTAATTCTTCCTTTGCCACAGCTTGTTTCCTTGGTAACTAAAAACTTCACCACAAACTTCAATGAATGATGAGCAGTGTAATCAATTAACTTACAGTGATAATTTACTGAATAAGCAGCACTTGTCACCAGTAACCACACAGTGATATCTAAGATACCACAGCATTTTTTAATCAAGCAGTAGATGCTGATCATGTAAAAATGATGTGGAGTAGGAAAGAAAGAAAATTGAAAGTTGTAATCAGTGCTGAATGGGGAATATTTTGCTACCATATGGCTAAAATAAAACGAGTCTTGGCTTCCCAGGGAACTGGGATGAGAAAAATGGGAGAGAACTGGCAGAGAAAAATGTCCAAGAGCTTTTGCCACGGAGGTTACTTATTCAGTATTGTGTAATGAGGTGTTTACTTTGCACCTACCAGGTGTGCGTGCACATATGGAAAACTACCATGGCAGCAGTGTATCCTTCTAGATTATCAAATATGATCTACAACTCCACAGTGTTGACATCTTGGTTAGCTGAGTACTGCTGGCCTGTCTTAATAAAACAAACATACAGAAGGTTAGAACCCACTATATCCACCTCTTGCATGCTTGAAAGCACAGTGTACAAGGTGCTTGGTGAATCACAAGCAGAGTTTAACCAAATAGAGCAATATTTTCTGACAAAGATTTCCTCAGAGTAAAAGACTTCAGACCAGTAAATACAAGTTAAAATCAGTAAAGAACTGCATACGTATACAATCATACATCTTGTATGATTTAGCAGGAGCTATAATGAATGAGATGTCATGTATGGTGTCTTTGTTATTCAGACTCTGATTTTAGCAGGCACAAGAAGGAAAATCAAGGCAAAAATGATTTACTTCCAAGAAGACTTTCCACTGCAATTCAGTCCTGATGTATTCATGATAACATACAGGTGAGTAACAAAAAAGTCTTTTTTAACCTTACACAAAAAGCTTTCTTGCATTTTGCATTTGTTCTTTAGTTTTCAAGACAAAGAGCATAAGAGCAGTTTAAAAATAATAAAACCTTACTTGGATAATAGAACTTGGATGTTCTTTAATATTTAATATATAATTGATAAAGGAAACTGATGAATTCTTAGAGTTTAGTGCAGGAACTGCATAGCTCTTTGCTTTTGGATAATTGTATTTCTCATCCTGTTACCACTATCTGATATGGCTAATAACAACTGCAATACAACATCTAGATAATTTCTCTAGACATCTGTAAGTTCCATAGGAATCAAGGAAAAGAATGTGTAACTTTTCCAACACCTGTAGTATTCCCTGTTAAATCACAATCTCAGTGTCTCCTCTTATTACAGCGTTACCAAAAGAAGCATTGAAGAAAATTATAGAACCATTTTTTTTTTCCAGGCATATAATATAGACCATAAATAATACTTCCTGATTTTAAAAATTAGTGGATATGGATGGAATCAATTCTCCAATTGCTTTAACACAATACACCAACACAGTTTTAGTTGCAGTTCTAAGGGTTCTCAGTGATAATGGTAAGATTTAGCTAACTAGAAAAGACAGAAAAACTCCTGTAATGGGCTTACTGTGATTAAACATCTATATAAGAAGTAAACAAATTCCTCCTGCTTTAAGTGAGATATACTAAAATTCACACAGGATTTGGAATTCTTCATTGATAAATGATGCAGTAGGCACATCCATAAAACATGCTCCTTTACTGAATTCAGAGACACTTAATGCATCTCAACACTCCGCTTTTATTTGAGGAACACAGAAGCAGAAACTTTCCATCATGTGCATGTTACACTGACCTAAAGGTACCAAAACAGAGTGTGCAGAACTGCAAAATAAATTACCCAACATATCATGTTTTGTCAGTTTTTACAAAGATTATGAGTAAGAATAAATCTGTTTAGCAATCCCACATCTGAGAAGTCAAGGTACCTCCAGTGCTAAATATATGCTTCCTCTAAATTCAGTGGAAGAAAGATCTGATGTTACAGCAAAAACTTGACTGTGAAGAATTTTTTTTGTTGTTAACTGCTGGTAAAAATACTATCTGACCAATAGTGAAATATGGTGCTGAATGACCAGATTTGGAGGTTCCATTAAGAATTCCTATGACTAAAATTGCTCCTTCTGGCAACGAATGGGAAACTGACACAAAATCCTTTAAAGGCTGTGAGTATTACCCAGTCTGGAGATTTTGAAGGGACAAACATCTGTTTTCTACCTGGTTTCTCAATTCTTCAAGGAATTATCTTTGGTATTTGGTCTACACAAAATTATACATAGGTCTTAACTATGTCTTTCAAAGGCCCCTGAGAAAAATGGTTAATCTTGGTCAAAGTTGTCAAGGATTAGTGGCCATTAAAGGCTGCTGAGTATTGTAGCGAGTTATTGGTCTCTTCATGATTCAGTAACAAGATTTTTTTTTTTTTTTTTTTTACAGCTGCTGGCTTCTTTTTGTGAGTTCTTCTGGAAGTTTATTACTTATAGGAAGAAACTCTACAAACCACTACAGTGCCTAAAGGCTTGAGTGGGCTGGCATCATCTGTTCCTGATGACAGACAGGGAGGATTCAAACACCATATGCTTTAATCTGCAAAACGCCTACTTCCAAGTCCAAGTGCCCCATAAAATTATCTTCCTGCTGAATCCAAAGTCATTTGCAAATCGGTTTCTTTTAAACAAGCTCAGGAATAAGATTAACAGAGTAATGAAATTAACTCTTCACCAAACCAACTATATCTCCTGACTCTTTCAGCAGGTTCTGAATTTCCATGACCCCTTTGCAATCACATTTTCACAGGACTCTGTTCAAAACCCTTTATCACTTTTCCTGCAGTAAACAAAAGTTCTCTCTTGCAATAGCAGCATTGTTCCTCTCCTGACTTCTGGAAATTACTTGAAGTCAAACATCATTTAAAAAAAAAAAAAAAAAAAAAAAAAGAAACAATACATGTATTACTTGGCTTCATTCTGCTTTCATTGTTTCTTTAATTAGTTCATGTCAACTGATTTGAAGATTTTAAACACATCCTAACAAATTCACAGACACCTCAGGAAAGTGATGCTTTCTTGTCACATCACCAGGTCTTGTTATTAGCATGACTCTTGTTCTAATTACCAGATGCACGAACACTGAATGCTGCAGAACTGCTGAGATCCTCTGTGGTGCCAGGAGGTGATGCTACAGGAGAAGCACAACTCACTTGTACAGTGTACCCATGTGATCCTTTATCGCTTCTCTGGTAATGAAGAAACAGTAGTAAATCAATCAACAGCATTAAAGCAATTGGTAGACTAGAAGTAAATACTGACAGCATGGCAAACTGAGAATCTCATCTTGGTATCAAAGATGGATGGCTTATTGAAAGTGTAACAGAGGGTTCTATGTATATAGTCAAGGATGCAGCCACCCTCTGAGCACAGCCCACAAGAAGGTTAATTATGAGAATGCAGAAGTGAAACATGCTGAGAACGTGCTACATTTCTCCAGCTGAGGAATAAACAGTGCAAAAGCAGACTTCTGAAATGTGAAATTAAAATACCTACATATTTGTTTCTGATTGTGACAGAGAGGCTAGAACACTGATTATGTGGCTTGCTTTTGTTTTCTTTAACAGAATTTACCTGAAAAGCTGACAGTATCTGAAAAAAACAGGAAAACTTTACATTCAAGGCATATAATCCAAAACATTTTGTAGCTTTCCAAAATGTTCTAAGCAGGACAATACAAACATGGAGAAAAATTGCTACTACTTTTCTCTGACTGAAACAGAAGACTTCCAATGTGAAGGAAATTGTGTGGTGACTCATATACCATCAAGTGACTGTGAAATAAAATGGGTTTCATATATCACAATAAAAGAGAGGACAAAAAATAAACAAATTTCATGGCATGATGTGATTCAACCCCTGAAAGTTTTCATTTTTATTTTGAAATCCTGATTCCTCTCTGCCAAATCCTGGCTGGGTTCATCTTTCACTTCCATTGCAGCAGACTTGGATGCCTTTCATGTGTTACACAACTGCTCTTCCTGATAGAGCTTTGTTAGCAGAACTACGTGCAGAAACACTACTTCAGCCTAAGCTTGAATGAAAACCTATTTTCAGTTTTTACACTGAGTACATTTACTTCTCCAGTAAAGTAAGAACACTTATCAGAGAGACACAGTGCTTAGAAGAATTATTGATTTTTAGAAATTAAAGCCAGCTTCACATAGCTCTAGACTTCAATGAGTCATAAAACTCCATCAACGCTTACTTTCAATGTTTTTGCTCCTAGAAGACAGTGATAGGTTCCTGTGAGCTGACAGGTGCAAATGTATTCACTGCAAAAACTTTTGAAGGAATTTTTGAAATGGGACTGTAAGCAGAAAGAGGTTGATTTTAACTAACCCACAACTAGCTCAGTGCGCAGAGCTATTTGCTATAGAGCTATAATGGGGTCATAACATTAGGGACAGCTGATTCAAACCTGCAGATGTTCATGCTGGATGCATGTCTTAACCCCTGGAGTCTTCAAGGCTGTGCTTTAAAAATGTATTCCTTGAGAACAGGGATTTTTCTTTTCTTGTGACATTTCCACCTCGCAGTAGTGCAAAATAAATCCCAGAGCACAATCTCAAGGTCAGCATTTCTTCAGTTTCAAGATACGTAAAGATGGCAAAAGTAGAAATACAATTCAAAAAATGAAAGAAAATATATCTTAAGGAAATAAGATCATACATTTCTCAAGAACAAATGTGCTTTAGCTGTTTCTATCACTGTGACTCAATGTATTTCTTTAGTAGATGTTCAATTACAGATGACTGTCTGGAAGAAAACATTACTTTTTTCACACAACAATACGTATATCAGACCCTGCTTGAATTCAAATGTATTAAAATATGGAAAATGTGTTTTCATATTTAACATCCAAATAAGAAAAATACTATAATTACTACTGCCAAAATAATGAAGTTATTACTCAGACATAGGCTTCTGATTCCCAGTATCCCACCTGTATCAAGAAATCATTAGGCATTCTGATACCACTGAAATGCACAAGTTACCTGGGAAAGTTACCTGGGAAAGAGCAAGGAAGAATTCCATGAACTCTCCTCATATAATTTCTGTATAATTATTCACCTCCCACTACCAACAGGCAGTGCTTCCCAAACTGTATGTGCAGGGTCTCCGCAGTTTTATCTGAAGGATTTTATACCTGGATTAAGTTAATGGATGCATGTCTCCTTCCCAATCCTGTTAACTCTTCCCATTTTCCAGTTAGAAACTGTACATAAGGTCTCAAAATGAAGATTATTTTTCACTTTCTCTCATTATATTTGTTCTTGCCACCAAGGCATGAGATCTAGATATAGGATTTTCTTTTCAGCACATAAACCTTTTCAGGCATTTCATACAAGTGAACGCTTTGTATGGTTGTCCCTGATAGGATATTCTAGCAGGTAGAATTGTCATAGGATAATTAAGGTTTGGAGTGACATCAAGAGATCTCCAGTCTGCTCTAAGCAATCTCAGCTCTGGACTTTCTCAAGGCTTCATCCAGTTGGGTCTTGAAAATCTCCAAGGACACAGAGCATACTATCTCTGACCAACCCAGTCTGTTACAGAGCTGTCCTCATAGAGATATTTTCCTTTTATTTACTTTTTCATTATTAACGTGTTTATTTATTTATTTATTCCTAATCTGCTTTTCTTCTATCCTATGCCTCCAATCTCTCATTCTCTTGCCACATACTGCTGTGAAAAGCCTGTCTCTGCCTTCTATTGTTCTGCATGGTTCTTGAGTTTCAGAACTTCTGGAAGTTCTGTCCTTTGTCCACTCATCTTTCTAAAGGCTGTTTGTCTTTTACTGTTTGCAAAAAGAGGACATTTTGTTCCTCTCCCTTGCTGCACATATGTAAGTAATTTTCTGTTGAGTCAACCTTCTCACCTGGGAGAAGTCAAGTCTTGAATGTATCCTCTCAAACACCAAGCCACAATTTTTAGTCCAGAGAACTGCACAACTCTGGAGAAATCCTGAAAACTATCAGGCCCCAGAAGGTGAAGCAAAACTTATTCCTATATCAAATAGCAGGGTGCTCCAGTATGCCTCACTTCACACTGCAGTTGCAGGAGACCAGCTCCTGAGTTGAACTATGAATATGTGAGTCACCTTCATGCTTAATGTGAGGAGGTTGTTACTGGAATTGTGTCATTTGCAAACTTCACATGGTAACAGCACTACTGAATATTTTAGTTTAGGATTCAGACATCCAGCTGGAGCTAACACCACTACTTCTCAGTTAGATGGGCTGAAAGCACAGTCGGACTTTAATGATAGCTCATTTGAGAAGTAATAACCTGCTTGCCTCATTTCTATGTTTCTCACCCTCAGTTTTATGCTTCAGATCCATGACTCAAAAATCACACCATTTAAAAAAAAAGGAAAAGCAAGCAATTAAAGTTCAATTCTGGAATAATCTGTATAAAAAATAGATCTAGGACTGTCTGTAAAATGAAACTCGGGGGACAGTATGTTCAGGTTATATACAGTTTTCAAAAGCTTTCTTTCAGCACGAGTGATTTGCACACCAGTGTAAAGTCATTGCTTTCTCAGCAATAACATTCCTGTAAACTGGTATTAATGTCAAATTTATACTTGTAAAAGCATGCAAACTTAATAAATGACAGGAATTGATTTAATTTCTTATCATGCATATATTTGCATAGGATTTACAGATTAATAAATGAGACATAGCTCATGTGTAAATCAATAGCTGCCCTCTTTGTGCAGTGTAAACTTCATTATTCATGGTCTTATACTATGTTGAATGAAACATTAAAGATACAAGTAAAACCGCTGTGGATTGCCTTAAAGGACACAGGGAAGGTCATTTTCCTAGAAAAATGAACAGGGAGGCAGAGCATTTCATGAGTTCTACTGTGCTCTTTTCTCCACTCCTTTACATTATTTTCCCTGTTCCCAGTTCTGTCAAACTGAGATGAAAGCATCTCAGGGGGTCATTGTGAGGTGTTACTAGTATGGCTTTGTAAATGTCTGAGAAAAGAATACTTATATACAGGCACAGGTTCCTTCTGATTTAGAGTGCCATTAAGCCATTTCCTTAATTAGTAGGCTCACGTGAAGTGATCACTTACATTTCATGGAAAGAAAGCTTCATGAAAAACAAGTCAGATATTTCCCATTTCCCCATTGAATTCTATCATCATAGATTGGTATCGCATGATGCATTTGTGATTGCTGTTATAGACAGAAACAACAAAATTAGTTCCATTCTGTTCCCTTTACTCAAACAAGCTGTTTTTACAAAAGATGGGAATGGCAGCAGCCTGGTCCTTCTGGACTGGGCCAGGAGGTATCACCTCAGTCCCCATGGCCAACAGATTTGATTCCAGTGGATCAGTAGGTATTAATCTCTTAGATGTTATTAATCTCAGATGGTATTAATCTCTTAAGATCTCCTAGATACTAGATCCAGTAACCTTTCCCATATGAAGAGATAAATATTCTCCCCTCACCAACACATCATTTGTCTGCATGACCCCACGTTATTGCTGGAAATATGTCATTCCAGTCTCTACTTTCCACACTAGTATGATAGGAACATATGGTGCCTCTCATCCTTTCTTCCTTCATAGTTATTATTGTTGTGTTACCTTTGTAAGCAAAACGTACAGAGCTGATGTTAGGAATAACATCATGCCATGTCACATAATGTGTTGTTACCAAACTACACTTTCTTGAAGCTTCTGTGTCCAGAATCCAAAATTCCATGTATATTGAGTTTAAATTGTTCTAGTTTTCAAATCTTCAGTAGAAGCCAGCCCACTGGAATAGCTCCTTTAATACTCTCTTGGTTTACTTCCTACTACTTTCAAAGACTCTTCTAAGAGACTTTTGGGAACTCATCTTTTGTTTGAAGGTGGTAGATTGGAATCAGGAGAATGGTGGTGAAAAGTAGGCTGCAGAAAGAATGCAGTGGAAGCTATGAGCCCATATTGCTCAAGCCAAGAACAGAAAACTAATACTATGAATTTATAAAGGTAAAATAAAACCAGAAAACCCTCACCATGCCCTGCCTGATCCTATAAACCCTAGCACATTGTACCAATCTAATCTTTTATAGTTGATAGCACTACTGGTTCTTCATAACATGAAAGAAAATAAATCTTCGTGGAAAAAAGCTCACATGAAACTATGGTTTAACTTTTATTTTACTTCTCAAACACCTTTTGCTCACCCCAATTGATCTCAGCCTGATCAAATGGAAAACAAATCTCTACAGAAATAACAGAGCTTTCTGTATTTTTATCTTATTTCTGGGCTCTCAAGTCATTTGGATAGGAGGTGCAGTCAATCAGAACTGAAAAGTATTGTTTTCTGGTTTCCTTCCCTCCTTCTCTATATCTCCCCAAAAAAATAGTGGAAGTCATCATGAAGCACCAAAAGATAGGAAGGGTAAAACCTCTAAGCTCCCTAGCAAAATGGAAAAGTAAAAAGAAGGTTAAAGAACATTGGTGGTAATAGAAGCAGAGAGATTCAAATATGCAGCTTTTTGAAAGGGTTTAAATATAAACTTACACTCACGTCTAAATTTAATATATTGTCTTCAGAGGAGATGGGTACAAACTGGAACAAAAGATGCCCCATAGAAATATCAGGAAGCACTGGCACAGATTGCCCAGAGAGATTGTGGAATGTTCTCTGTGAAGATCTTCAAATGCCGCCTGGACACGGTCCTGAGCAACCTGCTCCTAGCGTTCCTTCTTGAGCAGGGGGTTAAACCAGATGATCTCTAGAGTTGACTGCCAACCTTTACTATTCTATGATTCTGTGAAATTCTAAGGCCATGAGATGAAGAAGAAACACAGTAAGAGTGTTCAGAGGTTTATCATCATTTATCTAGAAGAGAAAAAATGAAAATAGCAAGATGCTAGCCATGCTTATGGCATCCATAAATATCTACAGCTACATAATTGTAGGAAGATAAGTAAGGGACAGGGAAGCAGTATGGAAAGACTTTGCCCATTTATTCTTATCACATTTCTCACACAGCATGAATGAAAATTATAAAAGCAAGCAGAAAAATCTTTCTTCTGGGAGAATTACTAGACTATACATTAAAAGAAACCTGACGCAGGATCTGAAAAACATATCACTAGAAAACAAGGAAATAAGAGAACGATAGTATAGCACCATGGGTGTCAAAGTAAGAGCAAAGTTGGGATCTAAGCACCCGAAAGAATGAAGAAATTAACTCACTAAAGCCTACACATGTGCACAACTATCCTTGCAGAATACCATCACCACTCAAATAAACCACAATTGCAACAGAAAGGTGAATAGTAAGGTACAGTCTGACTGATCTTGTTCCAGTTGAGGCCTCATAAGATTCTCAGAGAAAATAATACATTTATCTTTTTATTCCATGTTTCTAATGGTTATTTTTTCTATTGTTTTTCAGCAACAACAAAAGCAAAAACACTGGAAAACTGTACTGAACAGCAAACTAAATCATGCCTGCGGCAAGAGACAGCGTTTTAAACTTCCATCTCACTAGTGTCTGTCTATATGAATAATGTCGCCATGTCACTGCTTTTCCTGCACTGTTACAGTATATTCTTCCCCCACGTTTGTTATGCTATTCTATTTCAACTTGATGAATTATCCATATTACTATTTTTTGAGAAACGTTCCCTCTAGGGATGGACACACTTGGTTTAGAAAGTTTCCAGCAGAATAAAAGGAAAAGGGAAAAAGAAGAAACTTCCACATCTCCACTGTTTTAAAACAACCCTTGGGAGTAGGACATAATTATCCTCATTCTGCCATTGACAGCCAATTCTTTAGCAGAAGCAGCATATTTAGGGCAATGAAAATCAATAGTACTAAGAAGTGATGCTCGAACAAGCCTAGACAAAAATAAAAGAAATGTCTGTTGGCAGAGAGCAAGAATGGGAAGCAGAAAACACAAGATAGGGTCCCTACTAAATAGTTTCATTGGCATTGAGGTTTATTTTTTCTACTCTTTCCTTTGTTGTTCACGAGTGATGTGCTTACTCATTCAACCAAAGATAACAGGCTCAGTAACAACCTCTTTGAAAGTAGTGAGAAATAACTTGCCCCACAGCAGCCATTAGCAGATAAGGCATGTTTGCTCTAGGTTATGTAGTAAAGAAGATTTCATGTCTGACAGAAACAAATTTGAGTTCAAAAATCTGTGACTCTGTGAATAAAGCTTTCAGTTCATCTTTCTCACAAATATGAGGGAGGGAAAAATACTTGCTAAGTTACTTTATGTTTCTAGGTAGAGTTGCTAATAGATTTTGTTATGTTTCTCCATTACAGCAGACTCCACAGGCCAGGTATGCACAGATTAACTTGTTTGCTATTTTTACAGCAGCCCATGCTTTCACATGAATATGAAAACCCATTCCCACAGTGTCAGCCTTCCATTGAAGTTCAATGCTGAACATGTAATCTTCTATTCTATTGGGTTACTGTAGATATGCTTTTATGCTCAGAAACCTGTTTTGTCACCACTGTAGTTTTGGACAAGGAGAACCTGAAGATATTTATTTTCAAAAAATAAATCATTCTGGGAAGAGTTCCACTATTTGAGCTGATTTTCAAATAAATCTGTAAGTAATTATATGTACATTCTGCTACTGTGAAAATTTTTCTAAGGCTAATCAGTCCTCAAGGATCCACAAGTCAACTTTAATACATAGGACGTTGGCAGCACAAAACATCCTTCTTACCATCACTAAATGCTTGTACATAAGCATTAATACTTGACATTTTCAAGTGCCTATTTGTTTAGAATTAGAAATGACTTCCTATACATATGCATGTCCCATTAGCATGTAAAGTATTCCACAGTCTTCAAAATTTCACATAAAACAAAAAAATTTTCAAAAGAATTAATGCTTTTTTTCATTTTAAAAAACTCATTGCTGTATATGCTTAAAAGGTATGATCCCTCTAAAAAGCATGTAGATAAGACTACAAGATTTAAACTGGTATGTGAGAGCACATAATGTCCTGCATACTGCTACAACAGCTCTTTTTGAAGACCAACATGATAAGTTCCAGAGTTGCAGCTTAACTATAATTATGTCTCATTTACTACTTTCTTCCTGACCTTTTCTTGTGCTTTTAATTTCCCCATGTTCTTCTGGGGAAATTGTATGGTTATCTAATTATCTCAAAATGGATCAGTTAAGTTTTCCATAGATCTGGGTATGACTATGGTAATAACAACACAAACATGATTTCTCAAATGACTGTCATCTAAATAGCAGAGCTCGTGGAGGTTTACCACTTCCTCACTGAGAAAAGATGTTTGCAAGTGCTTAGCTACACATATTGCTTCTTACAAAACTGCAGAGGCAGGTCACTTCTAGGATATTATGAGGAACCCCAGGAAAGTCTAAAGTGGGGAAAAATAGTCTTCATATCATCTGGCTGCTTCTCAAAGAGGCATGTCTTGAATGTTCATTGTCAGTAACACTATATTTTATAATGGAACAGCAGAATCTGAACAGCATTTTGATCCCTGTCTTGCAAGGCAAAATATCTCTCATGATCAGAAAGAATCAGAGATAGAAGTTGGTTGAGTAAGAGCTTGGCCCTTGCTATTTATCAACATTAATAACCTTGAAAATACATTTGAATTTAAGAATAAGACTTGACTGTTTAACTCAGGAATTTCTTTGATGCAATCCCTTTCATTTCACATATTCAAAATACATATATCCAGTTTCACACAACACTGGAAGAATAAACTGTGAACAGTTTGTATTCTGGAGAAATCCTGATGTTTGTGTCAATAGTGCGTTTGTCACCTACAAACCTCTTCCTCACTTTTTAAAAAAAAAAAAAAAAAATCACTTCATTATACACAATCTTGACTCCCCTGGTCTAAGTACCCTTATTTTTCAAAGAAAGGAAAAAGAAAGTTCGGAGGGATTTATGTTGTGTTTTTCTTGCTGTTGCTTTCCTTACCTAGATGTCTGATTAAAGATTGGATGCTGAAATACCTTTTAACTCCAGCTGGGATTGGTCTGTTCTTAGTTGGAAGGCTACTTTGCTTGAGTACTGATAATCCTTGGTGGTGTTTTTTTTTGTTTCTCCACCCCCATAACTTTGTACACAGTAGGATAGAGGAAAATAAAAATGT